AACTAAACTATACCAAACTAAAATTAGCTGCTAAACTGCAAAAAAAAAAAAAGAATTATACTGTAACTAGGTTATATAAACTCAGATACAGTGACTCAAACAAGTGTTCACATGTTGATTATTTGAGAAATATTCACAACGACTTTCAAGCAAATTTTGTTATATAAAAATATTTTTCATCCTCTAGCCAAAGTCATATAAATCAAAGCCTCATACAAAATTCATCAAATTTTCAACATTTAAAATTTTTTAATATATGTACATTAAGTTTTAGTAAATTTTTGGGTATGCAGTATTATATAAAGTGCAAAAAATCGCGTTGACTGTTAATAATTTTTTCTTGCTGACGGACTTTTGCACTGTTTTCCATATAAACATGAATTTCTTATGGAATAAATTGCGTAAGACCGTTCGCAAAAATTTCAAAAACTCAACGCCAGGTTTTAGAAATTGTATTTCAAGAAAAAATTTATTAAAAATAAACGCGATTTTTTAGCCGCTTGTAATTTGCACTTTATTAAACTAAAATTTTATTGGCTATAAAACTACATACCAAAAAAAAAACCTAACATTTTAAAAAGAAAAACATTGCTAATTAAAAAAAAAAAACATTTGAATACTTGTTTGAGCCACTGTATCTATGTAATACTAAAAGTGAATTTTATGACTAATGAAATGAGTCGAAGGAAATTTTCATGCATACATACATACATAATAACACGCAAGCAGTTAAAAGTGTTGATGAGGTTCTTGTGGAATCGGCGAAATCCTTATGGCAGCAGCAGGAATCAATGATTAGTGTTATTCACCAAATTGAGCACGGGGCGTGGCACTGTTGTCAACATTTGTTGCTTGAGCTCATCTGCTCTTTTGCCAGACTGCCAGGCCATTTGCTCACTTTGATGAATACCACTATTGCTTAAGGTTGCCTAAAGTACACTTTAGCTATGCCTAACTGCATATTCCAATTTACTTATAAACGTAAATACATACATATTTAGATACATACTACACACTACTTACACTAAACAACATGCATACACAATGAGTATTTATAGTATACATACTTACATACATATGAACAACTGTAACACCAACCAATTGCATTTATTGTAATGATTTGCTGAATTTGTAAAAGCAACAACAACATATTTATTGTATTAATTATAAAAAAATTAATATAATAATAACTTTTGATACAAAAATTGTGGTTTGCATTATTTTTTTTTTTTGGGGTTAACGCCAACGAGTTTAAAAGGGTTAAGACTCAAGATATTGGAAAAAATACACATATAAATCGGAAAAGAACGTTTATTATAAAGGGATTCACAAGGCGTGTTAAGCGTCGTAATAAGTCTCAAATTTTTTTTTAAATGTTTTTAGGGGATTCGATGTATATGATACTAAATATGATCGAAAAGATAAATATCACAAATTGATCGAAAATTAAATTAAATAATTTTGATTGGAAGAACAAACAGGGGCACGCTTGTACCGTGAACATTATTTCTTTATGTGATCTCTCCACCTGGTAACTGCTAAGCTACATATCGTCACTTAAAGTACAAAACCGCGTATCAAGAAAATGCCAAACCTCTTATGTGAGGTTGCCTAAATTTTATAGGAGAGAATAAAACTTGTCTTCTATCAAAACGGTTCTCTCTTTTATCCCTAATATCTTAGTATCGATAATTTAGTATGAATGGATAAGGGCTTGATGCCAGGAGCTATCGGTGTGCAAATCTCTTTTTTGGCACAAATGTCAGTTACGAGGGCTCGCAGAACCACGATACGCAGTTTTGTACTTTAAACGACGCTGTGTGCCAAGAACGAAGCTTCGCAGGCAGAAGATGTCGGTCCCAGAGAGCTCTTTCGAACTGGTAAAAAGCGCGATGGTTGATGGAGAGGTAATGGGAAAACTTTGCTGCCGAAAGCTTACCTACATTGTCGCCGAGCTCTATGCTAACAAAGACTTTAGGAGCCAGAAAGAGAGTAGTTGTTCTAAGTGCCCCACCGCTCCAGCTTTCAAACTAGCGTAGTCTTCATTATAAGTGAAGCTAATAATGTCTAATAGAACCAAGGAAATTACCTTTGAAGAAAGACCCCATCTCTTATCAAAAAAAATATAAAAAAATAATTCACTTACACTAACAAAAAGTAAAAAAAAAAAACAAATAAAAATAAAACAACCCAAAAAGTAAAAAAAAAATTAAATAAAAATTAAATAATAATTAAAAAAATTATTAAGTTAAAAAATTAGGTATCAAAAAAAATTTAACCAAAAAAGACATTAAAAAATTACAACAGGCGTGAGTTACAGGGATTTATTAAATTTGAAGTGTAAACATCTGTGTCGTGAAAAATTCCTGAACTAGCCCCGGTATCATCCCGTACTATATCAGCGAGAAGTGTTGCTAGAACAGCTGATTGATTTTGTTTTCCTTCGTACTACCTACATATGTATTTCTGAATTCATCTTAGTTTACGCGTGACAGTTTACGCAAATTTTGCCCATACCGGCAGCAAAGATGTTTACACACCAAAAATTAATTTTTTTTTTTTACTTTTTATCAATACACTACTAATTTTATAGAAAAGATATTTACATTTAAAAAAATAAAAGATAATAAAATAAGAAAATAAAATATGTAATGAGAAAATAAAATAAAATAATAAAAGGGGGGAAAAATAAAAAATATGATAAAAAAATAAAAAAAATTTAAAAAAATAAAACAAACAAAAATATAAAGAAATAAAAAAATGTCAAAAAAAAAAAATAAAAAAAAAAAAAACAAAAATTAAAAAGTAAAATTAAATGAAATTAACACTTTAAAATAAATACATATGTGAATAAAAAAATTAAAGGACATAAAATAAAATAAGTACAAAAAATTATTTTATAAAGGAAAGAAAATGTAATAAAGATTCTAAAAAAATGAATTAAAATTACTAAACTGAACGCAAGAAAGGGAAGTGAAATGAAATTAAGTCGGATTAATTATTTTTTTTTTGTAAAGCAGAAACTTTTTTAAATAGACTTGCAATTTTCGATATTATATATTTTTTTAAGGATTGTTATTTATTTAGATTTCTCTTTCTCATTCTCCTTTCAGAA